GCGAGATCATCCTTGCGCCGCCTTCCGTTCCCCCAATGCCCAAGGAGAAGTGGGACGCGCCGAACATCGACCCGTCTCACGTATGCATACCTCAGCCCCCCGAGATCGTCCCAGAAATCAAACGGAATACGACAGTAACGTCGACCTCGGTCCTCGAGCGCAACAGTAAAGAATTGCCGCGTGTGGTGAGCTGCATTCCATTCATCTCTCGCCATTTCTGGATTCTGACTCTGCGTAGCCTGAAAGGGCCGTGTATCATCATAGAGCATTCAGCTCTGTATAGCTGTATCGATCCAATGGCACACGTCGAATGAGAATGGTGTCCTGATAACCGCACAGACGGTTTTCTCCTCTTCCAGGATTCTCGCCTCATTTGTAGTGTTGCGTCAATATCAGCTGTAAATTTGGACCTGTACTTTTGGATTGCTCAAGATTCAGATTTCGTTCAATTCAATTTACACATTATTGCCTAAGTGAACTCAATCTCATGTCGCGTTGTAGGTTATGGAAACCACAACTCAAGCGCTGATCAACCACAATGGAGGGGCTGAGTCCGAGGTTCGATTCCTCGACGGCGCATAGGATTTCAGCGAGTTATTTTTCTTCTCCTGGTTGAATTGCCGGCGCGTGGAGGTCTGTGTACGTTTGGGATGTCATGGCACAATTGTGCTGTAAAGACAATCTGTTTCCGTCTTTGTGAGCTTCGGTTGACTCGGAATCGGAATCCACTTGCTTAGTTGCCCACCAAGTGCTGTTCGGGGTGGATTAGGACGATTCCTCACCAAGGTGAGGCAAGTGATTTCCCCCCATTTGGTTGCCAAGATACTATCCGATGATGAATGGGTTGAATCAGTAAAACACCGTGACCAGACACGAGGTCGGAGGCCCAAACATTTAGTCCAACCAGTGCGCCCACTGTGGCTTGACCTTCTCTGCGGCAATCAGTTCACTGGCTATGGAATGTAGGCGAGAAGAATATCGTGTTCAATCGCAGCAGGCAGGCAGGGCTGTTGCTTGCCTCACTCACTCTACATCCACGCAGGAATCCCGAGTCGCAGCCAGTCGGGGGTTCGATTCCCTCACGGCTTCTTTCCTTGAATGGTCGTCCTTTTTCCCTGGCAAATCACTGGTCGCTGCATTTCGTCCAGATACCTCGGCTTTTGATGTTGAACACGGGACTCTTGATTGACACGTCCCGGATTCCTCCAACACTCCCCACCCATCGCCAATATGCCACATCTTTATATTAGCCATCCCCGCTGAAACCCGACACCCCGTCCGTCGCGCTGACCCGGCGTCTGGACGCTCCCTGGTCTCTCGCACAGATTTGCAGCTCGTGGCGCACCATCGCCCCCGCATATGCTCCACTGTGGAGTACCATCGCGCTATCGACAGCAAGCTGGGCTCGTCGAGTGCGGTATCCAGATCTGGAGCTTCAGATCGAGCGCGCTGGTACCAGTCCGCTGGATATCGTCTTTCGTTTCACGTCTCACGACACCTTCAGCGCGCGCCAACCGAGTTGGAAGGTCTTCAACCAACTTGTGGAGCGGCGTGCGCAGTGGCGATCCCTCCATCTCGAATTCCATTGGCAGTACTCGCCACCAGAATCGTTCAAAGAGCTGGGATTGCTACCCCTGCTGGAGGAAATAATCTTCAGTGGGAGGGGGGCGGTGCGTCTTGACCGGAAATGGGAAACTGTGTTCGCAAACGCCCATACGCCCAATCTGCGCCGGGTGGTACTCGGGGATCTCGGGAGGAAGCGATCTCCACATATCTCACTCTCCTCATGGGGGGAATTGACATCGTACAAAGCGACGTTCCAAGACCCCACGACGCACTTCACGAATCTCTCGAAAGCCTTCAACCTCGTCGAGTGTGATATTGATTTCGGAGACGTTGCGCGCGACATCGGCGTTGTCTCCATGCTACAACTCCGGCGACTCGTCACCACCTCAGCCTCATTCCTCCCGCACCTCATTGCACCGGCACTCCTCGATCTGCAGGTCCAAGGCGGTGATTTGGAGCCCATTCTCCCCTTCCTCCACCGCTCCGAGTGTGCGGCGACCTTGGCAAGTCTCACGCTCTTTAAATGCAACGCCTCAGCCTCGGCGGTCCTCGTAATACTGCATGAGACCCCAGGGCTGACGATTCTCGCGGTCGACTTTTTAGGGCCATCGAATGAGACTGCTCTGCTCATCGCTGCGCTCACTGTCCCCTTTGCATGCGACGGGGACTTCATCTGCCCACGCCTCAAGTCCTTGTCTTGGGGCGATCGCAACGACACAATTGATCGCAACGCATTTGTGGATATGGTCGAATCTCGGTGGCGCGCCGCTCCGAGGCTTCGTTTCCTGGGCTTATACCTCGGCCGAATTCGTATCAAGGCAGGCGGTTTGCGATTGCAGGCGTTGGCAGAGGAGGGTTTAGATGTTGTTGTGATGAATTTGAAGCGGGGAAAGAGGGTTATGGCGGAAGGATGGAGAGTGTATTGACAACGGCTACTTATGGGCAATCCTCCCTCATGTCATTATTTTCAACTCGTACTTATTCACATAGTTAACTCCTTCAAGAGATCTTCGCCCTCCTTCCCATCAAGCAAGTACGTTTTCAACCCGTCCGGCAATAAAGCCAACCCCTCCTGGACGCTCTCGACGAATTCACGGGAAGTGTCGATCGCCGCCACGCGGAGAGACGCCAGTTTCGTGCCGCCGATTTGACATTTACACGGGGGGCAAAAGCCAGCGCACGTCAAAGAGCGTGCCCTGAAAGAGGGGTTCCTTTGACGTTTACCTAACGAGGACATTCTTTTTTTTTTTTTTTGGCGTGGAGAGATAGCTGTGTTGTTCGCCGGAGTTTATGTTCTCCTGAGACAACACGAATTTATACAGCAGCGGAATCCGATTGGCCATCCGATTGTACACGCTGGCGAGCGCGGGCACAAGTTCCGCCGAACCTCTGAAAGTCACACGCAGGGTGCTCCAGCGATGAGAGTGCTGCAGGAGTGCGTCGAATAGGATTTTATGATGGTCAACCGACTGGCGGGACCGCACGTTGATACGCACTTCCAGAGTTGCGATACCAGATCGCACCGGTTGAGTTTCAATCATGGATAGTGGATAAATGGCGTCAAGGATAGGGGACTGAGGCTCGTGAATCCTGATGTGACGCCAAAGGAACAGCGTAGACAGCGCCGCATTGCGCCAGCTCCTGCAGATATGGCCCAGACGCCACGGCGGGGATTCAATGCGGCACGGTCCGACCCTCCGCTCGTGGGATACATAGGTGAAGATCTGGGAGAGCAATTCGCCTGGTATGTGGCGAACGAGTGACAGAAGGGCGAGATGTGCCTGGAAGTAACGGTCTAGCTCGTCAGGCTCCGGGCTGGGAAAAGGAAAGGATTTCATTTCATCCAGCTGCTGGCGGCATTCATCCAGGAATTCGTGGATGAGTGCGGATTCTCGTTCGTCCGGAGGGTCATTTGACTGGAGAAGATGGCATTCTCTGTCGACCGTTAGACAAGAAATTTGAATTACAGTGCGCACTCACGTTAACGGCCCTTGGTATCGTGGACGAAGGAGAGACAAAGGAGAGTGTGATGACTTGTGATGGCTCAGATGTTCGATCGACGATCGTGGATCGCGAAGAGTTCAGCATTGGGTATCGAGAGATGAGCCTCAGCATCCGTGCGGAATGAAAGGCGCTCAGCAGTATTCGACCAGGGAGTCCAAAGCAGAGTTGGCTTTCGAAGTAATCAGTATCACCGAGTACCCCACACCTCATTGCGTTTCCACACTAAACTGATACTTTTTACTGGCAAACCTCTCCAAAAGCCGGGGCCACATCCAATACAGTAAATGAGCAGGCCCCATCACCCACGGCATGAACACATTCTTCTCCCCCCGCTCGATAGCTTGAATACACCGCCTCGCAACGTCCACGCGCTTCAGACCGGTCTTATTGGGATCAGCTTCGCGTGGAGTGCCGCCATCGATGGCGGATGCACGGAAGTCGCCCTCGACAGTGCTAGGAAGGAAGTTCGTGAACGCGATGAGGGGGTGCTCGATGGCGAGGGCCTGGTAGAGGTGGAGGGAGGACGCTTTGGTGGAGGCGTAAAGAGCACGGGTGGGTGCAGGGATGGCGGAGGCCAAAGAGTTGACAAGTAGAATGGACGGGGATGAGGAGGTTCGTTGCAGGAGCGGTATCTAGGACACAGAGTGAGGGACGATGATGATAGATGGACTGAACACGCACGAAGGTCGCTGCAGCGATGAGTGGACCAGTAAAGTTTCCCTCAATTGCACGGTTAGAGACGTCCACGAGGTGCTGAATACCCTCCTTGTCTCCCTTGCCCGAGATCTCCAGCAACGGTCGCAGCGCAGACACTCCGGCCACGACGATGAGTGTGTCGATACCGCCCCACTCTAGACCCATGTCAGCTACCAGGAATGCAAGACTTGAGGATCACGCACTTGATTCCAGCTGCGTCCGTAGATTCACCATATCCTCGACTTTCGTAAAGTCCGCAGCGACACCAAGGACCTCCGTCGTGCCCTCCCTAGCGGTGGCACTATCTGCCTCGGAAGCAACCTCAGCGATCATGTCTGGCCTCCTACCAACGACACACAGGGACTTGACGCCCAGAGCCGCGTATTGGTGAGCAAGGGTGCGACCGATGCCTGATGACGCGCCGATGAGTAGGATACGCTCGTTCTTGCGAGGGAGCTTGCGGGAGCGTCGACTGCTGCGTCGCCGAAGGAAGGTCAAGATGGGTGCCAGAGCCAGAGCGAGGAGGACTCGCGGCGAGGACATGGCGGTCGTGGACAAGATCAAATTTGCCATCAACGGGTCACCGGTGATTGGGGTTGCCGACCACTTGCTTTTCGACGTAGTGTGGCTGGAGTGCTGAATCAAACCGCATGTAGAGCGAATGTCAGAATTGAAATCCAAGGCACAAACGGGCAGCCACTGGGAGAATTCGAGGCGCACAAGTGAAAAAGGAACTCTCGACCAGGGAGTCGAACCCTGCTCTCCCGCGTTACCAAGATGTCGTTCCGATGACAGGCGGGTGTACTGAACCGATATACTAGTCAAGAGTTAGACCCAGTGGCTGCTCTCTGTCCCTCTGATGCCAGGTGTGTTCTAAAGTTTGTCTTTTGATCGGCGTGGCTGTGTTTTTGACGGGTCTGCAACGCCCTCTCATCTCCCATGCATCCATCTCTTGCAATCCAGCACATCGAGGGCCTACCAGAACCCACAAAGGTCCTCCGCATCCCATTTGACTCTTTGGCAGCTCAACTCACGCCCATCCTAGTCCCTGGCGCGCTTAGCCGCCAGTAGCACAGTCCTGGCGCATCTCGTCAAGTTAGACGATTTGATATCCCACACCTCGCACCCCCAAGAAGCTCTTTGCATCCCCGCGTTCTACGTCCATCTCAATGTCCGCGATCTGCCTCTTCTCCGTGCCCAAATACGGAAATTACCGAAAGTTAGCTGTCTGCCTGAGCGCCTTGCATGTGCTTTGGTCGGCTTGGGAGCTTTTGGAAAGCTACACGGCTACGTTCATCCCGGGGCGCGTGAGGAAGTCTGGTCGTCCGCCTGGGCCTGGATTCAATTGCTCCAAGAGGTCAATATCAAAAGAGCCCCCGAACTACAGCCGTCGTCGGATGCAATGCGCTTCGTCTTCGTCCGCGTTATCCTGGCTTTCAGCTCTCAACCGAAGACATGCTCCTCTGTCATGGCACAGCCGCAAATACGTGAGTATATGGCCGCGGGATGGGCCGCCGCCCTGAACCTCCCCGACGTATCACAGATGCTCCTTGCCGACATCTCTACATGCGTTAGTGCGAATTGTGATTTGGCGAATCCTGACCATCTTCGTGACGTTGTGGCTGGTGCCGGGGGCACCATGAACGATCTCGCGTCTCTTATCGTGAGGGGCATGCGCGGACTTATACCACCGCCGTCGACCGCCCTCGCGGATTCTCTTCGCCTTGGACTCAAAATCCACGGGGTGCTCAATCTCGCGCATCAACTTCCTCCTCTCAAAGAGGCCCTCGCCTCTCACGGCATCGTGGGCGTCATTTGCACCGCCCTCTGCGCCCACGCCCTCTCCGGATTGAGCGAGCGGGACATTGCAATGTTGTACTTGTTCACCATGTCAATCGTGAACTACTACCTCCCCGTTTTTCCACGCAACACTCGCATCAAGGAGGCGCTCGACAGCGGGCTTCTTCGCGCTATAGTATTCTGCGCATGCTTCAAGAACGTGGAGCTCTTCGAGAAACAGCTACAGGAGCTCCTGGGAACTCTCCTACCCCAAGCTCTCGTCTATCACTCCGTCCTTACCAGTTTGCGCGCCGCCCTCGATGACGCCGAGCCCCTCACTCACAATCGCGCGTTCCGTGAATCAAAATTGTTTGGCATGTGGCAAGATTTCGTCCGACTCGCTACGGACCGTCTCGATCTCCTCGTAAAGTTCGACCGCGGCAAAATTGGTCAAACGAGAGCTTGCGATAACCTCGAGGTGCGTTGTATGAGGATCCTTCACTGCCTTGTCCATCTGAAAGTTTTCCCGCAGTGTATCTCCCCGATCAAATTGGATGACGATCTGAAGTGGTGCTCGCGATGCCACAGCACGTTCTACTGCTCCAAGACGTGCCAATCTCAAGACTGGGCTGATCATAAAACGCTTTGCAAATCTCTGCTTCAACGGAAGAATGGTAACTGCTCCATCCCTCAACAATTTGCCTCCCCTTGACTTGATGTATCCCCAGAACTAGCCTACCTCTCGCCCGAACTCAAATTCCTCCGCGCCGTCCTGAATCACGATTACGAGAACGCGCGGGCCGACGTCGTCGCCAAACACACCAAGGCACTTGAGAAACACCCCAACGCGCCCTGCGCTGTCGTGACTTTCGACTACCGCCAGGGTGTTGACGTGCAAATCGAGTGTGGTCCAGCGCTCGACGAGGCGGAGTTTACTACTCAGCATTATGGGGCGCGTGTGGGGCGCAGTGATAGGCGGCTTGAGTTGCATGTGATGGCGTTGACTGTGGGGGAGGATCGTACGGAGTGGTTGGCGTTGCCGATGCGCGTCGATGCTGGGGGTTTGGTCACAACACATTGAGATTTGGGAGTTGTCTCTTGATTTCTTGGGAACTGAAAGTGTAATTTGTCTGCCTGACCCCAATATACAATGATGAATCGACTTCCCCGGCGCACTCATCTTTCTGCATTAGAAAACAGACTGGAAAAGGAGGATGGAATCGAATGGCCCATAAAGGGACAGAACAAAAAGTGTCTTGGACAAGCCAAACTGAAGAACTGTCGACGAGGGAGTCGAACCCTGCTCTCCCGATCAGCACCATGCTGACCGTACTAGTCGATACAATAGGCCTCTCTTTCTTCAATTATTCGATTCTCCAATTCCTTACGGTGTGAATACCAATCACAGACACAAATGAAGGTCTCTTCTATTGAGGGAAGTGGGGCTAAAAGTAATATTCGATGATTAGCTACTACAAAAGGACAAGTTTATATACCTACAAAATGTACTAGAAGGTTCTGGGTGTCGGTGGGCCAATGGAACAATAGAACAATAGGAACACTGTACTTGAGCTCCGCCTCGGGCAACGCTCGGGCATTGGAGCTATGCTCGGGCTGTGCGGTTGACGACCAACGCGGTGTCGTGACTCGAGGTTTGTCCATCCTTCAGCATCTTCTTGGTTATATAATTCTGCCTAGACACTTGAAATCAAAACGCCCGGAAATCCTCCCTCAAATCATGCCCCCGCACCGATACCCTCCCTTTCCTCACCCTACCCCGGCTACCCAATCCATGCCTACCCAAACTCTCCGCTCTCTTCCTCGCACAAACCCACTTTTCCCTGAGCACCTCCTCCATCCTCTCAAACGCCTCCGCAAACTCGGCATCCAATTTCTCCTCATCGTACAAATCGTACCCAAACTCCCTGAACTCGGCACAACAAGCACACCCCACCTGTCGGCATGCACACCATCTAAGATGCCGCAGCCCGAGATCAAAGTCAGCTGCACGCCCGTCGAGAGGGTCGATGTAGAATCCTACCCCGTTTGGTGCGACGTTGTCGAGGAGTGCGGGTATGAGGGTGGGAGAGAGCCATCGGATACGAGTGGTCGGCACGCGGCTGAGATCAAAGGCGAGGCGAGGATGGATGCAGAGTTCCAGCCCCGCGTACATCTCGACGAACCGAGGAAGCCACATGGGCATGAAGATCCGAAGGAGTGTCTCCACCATCAAAACCCGCAAGGCAGGCCGTGAACCAAATGCTGGGTCTCGCGCGTGTAAATGAGTTCGAGGTGAGTGATCCTGTGGCTGAACGACTGGATACAGGCAGCATTTGCGCGAGTGAAGCGTACATCCTCCAGCCGGAGTTCTCGGAGAAGGGGAAATGGCTCGACAAAGTGCTGCGCCTTTGGGTGGGCCGCTGGCTCGGGGCTTTTCAATACACTTTAGCACTTTCCAACCACTTTCGCGATATTTTGAAATTCATACCCTCCCCGGCAACTCCCCGGTGTTGTGGATTGGCAAATGCGCTCAACATCGGAGAACCTCATTCCGGATAATCAAAGGTCTGCAATAGGAGAGCTCAGACGAACCTCATGATCACCAAACGATCACCATCGAGAATGCGGGCCGCCAATAATGCCGAGGCATGGGAAGATCTACAAGCCTGCTGACGTCAAGGCTGTGCACAAGCTGTGCACAAGGCGCTTCACTTCTCTCGTCTTACCACCACCCGGTGACCTTCGATGAACGACGATTTAAACGCTAGCTCAAACAACTACCATGCGGAAACGCTGGCCGAAATCTCAGATAGCGGATCTGCTGGGTGAGTCCTGCCCCTCAGACCTCATTTCTCAGTGCTCACGCACCTGCGCCCAGATTCGCGGGGGCTTTCTTCCCCCAGTCGCGGCACCTGCGTGTCACGGGCGGGACTTTCATGAGCCATGTGCATGTCCACCAAGATGCTCAAGGTCAGCCCGAAGGTAGGTTGATCGCTGTTCTCTCGTGATCCATATTACCCACTGTCGCTGCAGAATTCAAGCGAATCGGTCGTTGGGAGATTGATCTCCAACGGGAAATTGTTCCGCGTACCACTGCTCGCCGCGTGTTTTCTGCGAAGATTCGAAGTGAGGACCTGCCACAGGCAGTGATCTTATTTGAGGGGGCGGAGGCGGAGGCGGTGCGTACAGCTTGATCTGTGCACACCGTTTCTGACTACAATACAGGAATCTCGCGAATATATCTCACGCCATGCTAACTTCTGGTACGCATCACGGGCTCCGTATGCGACTCGAGTAGAACCGTTCATCTCGCAGGCATCCGAACCTACTGCAGATATTTGGAGTTTCAAATTTCTCCGGTAAACATGCTGTTAATGCTCAGGACGGTTCGTATTCTTGTGTGATTCGCAAGTTGAACTACTGAGGCACACTCCCTATGCAGATCTTCTGCCCTACACTGAGTACCTGGACTTTCATCCTGTGTCAACGATTCGGCGGGTTTATCTGCATGCACTTTGGGTATGTGGCCAAATACTATTTCTGTCTATGTTTACAATGGACTCCAAGGCATCAGAGATCAGTGTCAGTGATCTAGAAGGCTCTCCATCATGCTGTCCCTGATGCTCCTAGCGAAAAAGGACGTCCACAACTTCCTGGGTGACAGAGCAAAAAAAATTGTGAGCTCCAAATCCAAACTCAATGTGCGGCACTTCATCCACTCAGGACCAAACCCGGTGGATACGTCAATCCAGTGGTCGAATTTGCGTGGACTTTGGACGCCATGACGGAATCCGTGAACCCAGTAACATCTTTCACTTCTTTGATTTTGGTCCGAACAGGGACAACAAGTATACCGCTGTTGCCTCGGACGCAAGGTGTTTTGAGACCTTGTCAGTAGACCAGGTCCATGCAATCGGCTGGTTTGAATTGTCATGTCGGGCTCAATGGTACACGGCTCATATCAACCTGGATAAGCCGTTAGCTCCTAGCCTTCGGGGAATATTCCGTACAGGGCCTGACATCGGTGTACCCATCGAGGTTGCATATT